CTCTTTTCCTTCTGTCGTTATTGTTGTCATTTCGCTCAGACGCCACTCCAGCCATCCTTTGTTGGCTGGTACGCCTTGTATCCTGGATAGGTGCCGCCGCTGCTTTGCGGAGGTCGCTGTTCGTCTTCGTCCTCGATATGTTGGTTGCCACCGCTCGGGCCGCGGTTGTAGTTGTATTGTTGGGGACGACTGTAGCCAGAGCTGAAGTCAAAGCCGCCAGAATCATGCAGGTCCGGAGATGCCATGCTTTGGTCGCCAGTGTAGCTGCGCTGAGGAGCAAGAGGGCGAGTCGACTCTGAAGAGGGTTGACGCGAGTTTGCTCCGTACTGGGGACGACCATAGTTCTCATTGAGGAACTGGCCTTGCTGATTCTTCTGGTCAAAGCCGTAGTCGTTTTGAGGCGCGGGGGATCGCCGGTAGTCGCTGGGAGGGGGTGGAGGGCCGCGGTAACCACCGGCTTGAGGACCAGGAGAGCGGCGATATCCAGCCGGGGCGGGACTAGGTCCATCGCGAGGTGGTGCTGTGAAGCTTCGGGGTATCGGTGCCGGGCTGGGGCCGTTCCGGGGAGGACGGCCCATGCCGTAGCCTCCCTGCTCGTAGCTGTTGCCGAAACCCTGATCGAATTCTTGCTGAGGACGGGGGTAGGTCTGACCTCTCTGGGGCCCGTAGCCATTATTGTTGAAATCTTGGTGAGGTGTACCTCTGCCCTGCATCGCCATACCTCCGGCAGCGATAGCCCCATTTCCATATCCTTGGTCTACCCCGAAAGAAGACGCTGACTGTCCGTATGCTCCATCACTGTAGCCGTTGCCTGCCATTTCGTAGGGACCCGCAGGCTGATTGGCGTTGGTGAAGTAACCGCTGGGTCCGGCCTGAGAATTTTGGCCATAAGGGCTCCTGTCACCCGGCATGGGGCTGTTCGGATGGGACATGGCGTTGGGTGCCATGAGAGGCATGTTCTGTCCGTTCGGGTTCGGTGATACAGCCGGTTTGTTCATCTGTTCGAGCTCCACCTCCTCCTCAAGTGCCACCTTCTTCGAGCCTGCACCCTCCCAACTGGGCATCGCGGGAAGTGAATCGGCGTCTGCCGGATTGGCACCTGATTTGCTGACTTCGAATTCAGCATACTGAGGCGGCGCCGCGGCTCCGGAAGCCACGGGTGCTGTTGAATTCGCCTGGTGTGCAGGCGCGGTGCTGGCATTGTTGTAAAAGGGAGCCATGGGCGCCTGGGATTTATATCCCTGATTGTTCGGTCCATACGAATTGTCGTCGAGGTGCTTGTGAGGTGTTCCCTTGGGGGTGTCGCAGCAACCGCAGCAGTTACCGCAGCACTTCAAGCAGTAGCAACACTGACAGCAGCACGACAGACCGCAGCAAGCGCACCGGATGATGCACCATACGATAGAGAAAATAATCAGGCCCCCGAAGATCATAATTCCAATGACGGGCCACCTGCGCAAGTTAGTATGTCGGGATTCAAGTGAAGCCATGACCATAACCTACTTGCAGAAATTAACGGACATGCAATTGTCCCAACTAGACAACGCCGTCTTCACATCGTTGATCGAGTTTCCGGCGCTCTGTACTGTGTCTGTAATTCCGCGACTCTGAATGTCCGCGGCCATGCTCGACACCACTGATCCCCACACTCCTCCTCGGAGACTCCTCGCCATGGCGACATCGATCGAAGGCATTTTGAATGATTTTGTTTTGCTTTTCCTCCAACAAAGAACGTGATTCTCGGCGAATTACCCACAAAATTTGGGTACGTCGAGCTTGGTTGGTCGAGGGGGATTGATCTGCGGAATTAGAAGCGGACTATAGCTCCATCATCTCATGGGCTCGATGTTTCGTCGTTTAATCGGCTTGAACGGTGATCGGCGGACCGTTGGGGGATAAGGCGAGCCGCTTCGTGGTACAAGAGAACGTCGTCGTGCAGGTGTAACGGGCGGCCGGATTCGCACAAAACGATCTCACTTGAAGTCAAGATGGCAAAGGAAAGTAAGTGGTAGGCGTGACCAAAAAAGTCGAGCCTCGAGAGCCTCAGAGGATAAGAACCGAAATGAGTAGTGCCGCTGTGGTGCCGGTAAATGAATGCAAGTCTTCTTCTGTCGTCACTGCCTATGGGAGGGCAAAGCGTTCGCCCCCTTGCGTGGGTGGGCTGGTGAACGAGTGGTAGGGGACGTTGTAGCGAATGGTAGCGACAAACGAGCAAAAAGCCCAGAGGCTTTCGTCTCAAAATGGCACTGAAACTGGGCGGTGCAAGTCAGCAAGCACGGCAAGGTCCAACAGGATGACCCCGAAAAATAGGCGATCCGTGGCCAACAGATTGGGTGTCTTGGTCTTATTGCTTGGTGACGCTGCTGGGTGCGAGTATCGAGAAAAGGGGTGGGTCGCAATTCGTGTCCAAGCTGTCGAGAGACACGGTTATCCCAGGTAGAAGGGAGGCTGTAGCTGAGGGGTGGTCGTTTTCGTGAGACGTGTTGAGGATAAATAAATCCCAAAGTGGCGGCGAGAGAGGCGGAGTACCGGTATTCGTATGGCTTGCTTAAGGAATGGCTTTTGAGCTGGAATTCTGCTCTTCTGCTTCGCGAAGAGAACGAACGAAAAAGGGTAAAAATGAGAGACACGAGGAGGACCGTCAAACAGCCTCGGGAATGGCCAAGGAGATGAGACGAAACGAAAAAGGAGCGAAACGGCACAGGACGCAGTCTGCCGGGTTGTCGGAGGAATATGCACCTCGGGAGGTTGTCAAGAAAAAGAGTGACAAGAGGCCGCCGTAGATGAGATGAAGAAGATGTGAGGATATGTTTCCCTTAGCCAAAAGGTCAGAAGAGCAGCAAAACGAGAGGAGGATTTGCAACGAGGTGTGGGAAAAGGAAGAAGGAACGGGAAAAGATTGGCGTGACGCACACAGAGTTACTTTGCCGGGAAAGCCACGAGGGGACGATCAAAAGTGGCAGTCAAGCAGTCCAGGTGGTCACTGGTAGTGGTGGGAAGGGTCAAGGAGCAGCGGTAGAAACATCAGCACCTTTCCATTCTCCCTGTTTGACAGACTGAGCTGAGGTAAGGTACCTAAGAGAGAGCGAGCGCGACGGGACGCCGCGACCTGAGCACAGGGAGATTTCCAGAGGGAAATTCGAATTGCGATCGAGCGCCATGCCACACTCTAGCGGACTGAAGATCCCTGCTCAGACGAACTTGAGTGGGGGAAGCGGTTCCTGACTTCCCGTCCCCCCTTCTGCTTTGCTTTTTGCTGCGGCTTGTTCAGTCAAATCACTGCAATGCTGCCATGCTGCGCTGCTGCTGCTTGGCCTCGCATTCTCTTTTCTGTCTGCCTGCCTGTCTGCAACGCCAACACCCAACGCCCGTGTCCACTTCCACCTCAACTCCAAAACGGCTGTCTGGCAAGTCCCCTTGTAATCGCGCAAGTGCCGCTTTTTCCCTCATGAAGTTCGTTCAGGGGTCGGTTCGGAGATGATTTTGGATTCGTCGACCCCAATCTTGATTGCGCCGATGAGCCGTCCCTCAAGTCCCCTCTCCCCCGGCCGATAAATCAAGATACTAACTAAGGTAAGGTAAGCACATAAGGTATCAGTTAGCGAGTATTGACTTGCAGCGTGTCTGGTCTGCCGCCGCCGCGCGTGCCCGCCACCCAACTGCACCAACCGTACGGAGCATTTCCGTATTGAAAACGAGACAACCTGGGGACCGAGGGACCGCCAGTTAGCAGCATGCAGAGTCAACATGATGAAACATGGTGCTCTTCTCGTCCTCAGGCATACGTACAGCACATTACGACTTGGCATTGGCCAAAGCGTCTGGGTCGCAACCCCCGTGACAGTGGGCACCCCTTGCTGCCTTCCCTCGCGCTCGGTTATGACGGGAATACGTAAAAAGCCAATGGTTATTTCCAGCCACACCTGCGTTCTACTCAGCCACAACCACTCGCCACATTCAGCACCCATGTGATGTGCAGAGTTGCATCAACTCGGCCGAGACGGCGGCAGAGCACCGGGCCTTACCAGGACAATGCAGACTCGGCAGTGGACAGGGCATCTCGGAGACAGGTTCTCCTTCTTGTCTCAGAAAGACCGCCGTCGCTGGCTTCGAGAACAGTCCTTGGCCCCCAATCTCACCAGCTTGAAATGAACCTCAGGGTCGAGCTAACTGACTAGAGGACCCCACGAAACGCCTGGAAGCGTGGAAGAGTAGCGATGGGACAGCGAGTAGGATCAGGAACGGATGCCGCCGTGGTTCGAGAGACCGCTTGCGATAGCTCGAAATCTTACTCTCGCTGCTCCAAGTAGTCGATCTTCGTCAGAGGAGGCGCTCTGTCCTGGGACGTCGAGAGTAGAAGCTCTGTGCAGTGGCACCGACACGCACGTCCAGAAGAAGAGCGTCTGGACGTCTAGAAGGGTAATTGAATTCACAGCTGCAGCCCAGCACAACGCAGGGCTCGTCTGATGTAGAAGCTATGGCTAGCAACCTAACCTGTGCGATAGCCAAGTCCAACAACCTTGCGTTGATCGCGCAGTTTTTGGATGACCTCGTGGATCAGGGCAGATGTCGCATTCCTAGGTATGTTGACATAGATTGAGGAACAGGCCCGTCAAGGGTAGAAATCTTTCACACGTCGTCACCAGTCTCGGAAATTTGATTGTGGCCATGAAGGCATCACTAATGTTGAAGTTTACTATGGAGTCATAGTCCAGAGCTTTCTCGATTCTTTCTCCAGGCCGGGCTCAACCCCGAATATCATCGTCATCATACATATTGGCTGGCCCCCATCTTCCTTCCCTCTTGGCCCCTATCGTCGTAAAAATCCTTCCAAAGAAAACCTGCCAACGCCTAACCGGGTTGTTTCGCAATCAAGGTATCATCTGTGTGTTCGCAAGTCGTCGTACTCATGACAGTCAAAGAAGTTTCACGCCTCTCCGCATCAACCCTTCCACGCCTTCGGAACCCAAGCCCCATTATCTTTCATCGTCATCATCCATCTACTTTCCGGGCGGCGGGCCAGCAGGCGGGGCGTAAGAATCCCGCTGGTAGGCGTTTTGCGGCTGCTGCAGGTGAATACCCTCGTTGTGACCGCCGTAGTATCCATCGTTTGGGTTGAAAGTGGTGCCAGTGTACTGAGGTTGCTGCTGAGCGGGCCCGTAAGCCGGAGGCGGGTTCTGGTAGGCGCCGCCCTGCTGGGGGTAGCCTGCGTATCCTTGCTGCTGGCCATTGTACGGCTGGTTGTAGGCGTAGGTGCCCTGCTGATTGTGCTTATTGTTGTTGCTCATCCATCCGGTGCCGTAGAAGGGCTGGACACCGCGCTTTCTGCGACGGCGGGAGTTCATGCAGCTACATCACAAAAACATCGGTTAGCCATGATGAACGCACGCAATGGGAGGTCGTGCCAGAAGACGGGAAATAGCACTGGGGGAGTACCCTAACAAGATGAGGATCAGAAGTGCGATGCCGACGACGACGGCGGCGAGAACCCAGCGTCCCCACCAGTACCATGCGCCGCGTTCATAGCATGCTCCGTTTCTGTAGACTTGACCGGAGCTGCAGTAGAATTGTCTGCGAGATTGACGTTAGCGTCCGGAGGGCATCGCCGGGGGGTGTTGATGTATGCAGGGTCTCGCAGATCCATTTCGGATGGCATGCAATGAGGGGAGGAAGGAAGGAGAAGGCTTACCTCTTGTCGAGTGAGTCGATGGGAAAGGGCAGAATGTGAACATTGCCTACAGCGTCCGCCATCTTGATGACTGTGATGTTGTCGCTGAACGGGAAGTTTCTTGTTCGTGACCCTCGATGTTGAAGGTATGGAAAAGGTTGGCCTCTCAGTGATATACCGAACTTCTTATGCTATCGTTGGCGGACAGGGTTCTGGTGCGACGAATAAAGAAAAGACGAGATGTAAACGGCAGGAGGAGCTGTCCGGGGAGAAGCTTCGTCCGACTATTGTATTTCTTGCCCGTGCTTCAGAAGAACCCAAGAGCTCACTTCTGCGTGGCGTTCGCTATGCTTTTCGTTGGCGGGGAGGGAAGATGGCGAGTGATGTTCAATGACGTGATGGCTTTTGACGTCCTGTCAGAATGGGCGAGATCCGGTCTAGAGCTCTCGGTGGTGCAGTGCAGTGCAATGCACAAAAATTAAGGTGAGTTGTACCCGTAGAGAATAGGTAGCGTAGGTAGGTTTGGGTGGGAGGATTGCGGCCTATTTAGAGTGCAATGCGAGACAATCCAAGGTTGAATTAATCAAATAAGAATTTGGATGGTTTCTGTTATGTATCCGTATCCGCAGTGTAGGAAGGCAGCAGCGAAGCGCCAGAAGAGAGAGTCAAGACGTTTAGGTTTTTGATTAAGTACAGGGTTGATTGATGGAAAAGACTCTTGAGAAAAAAATCAGACGGGGGTACGAGGAAGAGGGGGGGAATGAGGGATCCAAGTTATATTTCGCCCGACGGCGTGATGAAGAAAGCCAAGCAAACCGTCGCCAGACAAAAGCGACGTCTTGGAGGCTGGGCAGTCACTTGGCCCCAAAGCCATTGCGTGGCCTCCCTCCTCTGCCCAGACTTCGCATACTTGGTCCCCCGGCGAAGCTTCCAGTGATGCCCACACCTTCCTCAGAGCCTGGCCACTCACGATTCACCACCGTCACCAGTCATGAGGCACCTATAGGCTAACAGGCCTACCTTACTTACCTTGCCGTGCTTGCCTTACGGATGGACTCATCATGGGTGGTATGGAATTGGAATTAGGTACAATGATTGTACTTCCATTGTCAGCCCTCAGCAACGAAAGTCCTCTCCGACCACACTCTACCGCCGAGTCACCGCCAGGCATCTCCAGTGATTCGAATGAATGGGGCCCCCGGACGGTTAGTTTTCCCTCCGTTCCCTCCGATGTTTTGTTTGGACGGGTTAGGTGCTTTTTCGTCTGAATCTACATATACTTGTACGTATCTCTCTCGCGCGGACACTCACCAACTTCACCAAGAAGCTAACGGTCCTCCTCCAAGACACGAACCCATCAAAGCCCCATGCAAGGTACCAACTGGCCACCGCGGATCCTCTCCTCTTCCTCAGGCCATCAAGGACCCAATACACTATAGTTCACCCAGTTCCAAACTATCCAATAACCCATCACGTCGCCCGGCAAGAGTTCTTATCGAGTCATCCGGGCTCCGGCATCGAATGTGGCTGTGTTCGCCCTCTCGCCCTCTCGTCAGCCAGAGAGGCCCGGCCAACGCCCAGTAGCCCACAAGGTGAATAACCGTGGTACCATAGCCTTCGTGAACGAATCGCAAAAGCGCCTCACACCGTTCCGGTAAACGAACAAGACAAGAAGCAGAAGAACCTGAGCAAAAAAAGAAAGAAAGAATGGGGCTTCAAGGCGGCGCCTGACATCACCGGCACGAGCGAGGCTTGGCCGTCTCCATTCAATTATTGCGCGCCTCCCCTCATCCAACAGTGGTACATTTTGCCGCGGGCCCATCAACCGCATCCTCCTCCCAAGGGTTCCTCGTTCACCTGTGGCGATGCCGCGGTAGCGTGACCTCTCCAACTAAGATACCTGTGGTGAGGTTCAGTAAATAGCCTTTCCCCCCAGCGAACCGCCGCTGGGAATTGGAATCATTGCTCACCAAAAAGCCTAACGTGCCTCAATAGCATGCGGCCTTCACGGCGGCCCTCTGAGAGTTGAGTTGTTGTTCACCACAACCAACACCATCCCCACCGAGCAAACTGGGCGGTGCACGCCTCGCGAGCTTATTCCAGCAAGTTTCCACAAAAAACATTGTCCTATTTGTCATTTACTCGTTGTGTTTCTCTCGTTTACTCATTCTTAGCATGGCAATCATTTTGTCATCCATTTTGCAGTCGCCGCTGCCCTGGACTCCCCTCAGTTTTTTTCGCGGCACTGCGGTTTCTTCAATATTCGTTTGCGGCTTCTCTCTGGGATTTCCAAGGGCCGGCCTCCCCGGCGGCGACATACCGGGGGTGGATCCGGGCAAGGGAAGCTGAGCTCACACCGCAGCAGACCGATATCTTTCGATCATGATCTACCTTGCCTGAGCTTGCGGTACATCGTGAACCACAGGGAGAAGCTAGAACAGACCTCTGCGTTCAGTTCCTCTGCTTTCAGCTGGCGTGTCTGCCCTCGCTCACCAGTCACCCCACGCGTGCCACTGCCAGACACAACTCTAAAGAACCTGGTCACCCGCGACTCGCGAACCCCGGATGTTCTGGAAGAAACGGGAGCTACTTGGACAGCAGAGTTGAAGGCACTGCCGCACTGGCTGGCTGCTGACGCTGAGGTGGTGCGGCCGCTCTCCCCTTCCCACCTCGCTCCGCCCAACGCCGGTGACCCCACTACCTTAAGGGACCTTACCATCCGGATCACCCTAATGCTGAGATCCACCTCGCCGCAAACAGCAGTCAGCTTCTCTCGAGCTTCTTCGACAATTTTCGTGAACTTGTCCGAGATGACGAGCAGCCTCCCTTCTCTTGAAACTTTCCCTTGGAATAAGGCAACAAATACACTGTAATCCCTCTGAACAAAAATAGACCAGCCGGCAAAGGACCAATGGTCCATCTCGCCATGTGGAATGCCTCACTGCCTGGTCTCATTATCTTGCGAGCAACTCGACCCGGGGCTCGATCGACTGCACTCCGCTGCTCATCGCCAAGACTGTTTCCAAAACATCTGGGCACAACTCTTTCTCGGTATGTCAGCCAGCTTGCCGCGCACTTGGGACTGTCTCAAACCGCTCCGTCACCTGAAAATTTCCGCGACACTCCGGCAACACAAACCCGGCCTAGGCGATCAACGGCCTGTTTTTTTTACTTCATCTCGACAGTGATTTTTGTAAAACGGCATATGTCTTTAGATATCTTCACTCTAAAAACTTCAGCAAAGACTTGTTGGGATTCAAGGTACGCTCTTGACATCAAAAAAAGTGTAGTCTCTCTAAGGACATACGGACCCCTCAGCGCTGTTCACCGAGTGAGGGCATGATTCCGACAAGCGCTGTGAAACACAGCCGGTCGACGAATAAACGGAACCCCGGATTTGCCTCCGGACTCGGCCCTGGCCCTCAAATTTTCCCCATGTGATCCCTGACCTTTTCCCCAGTCCTTCAGTAGCCAGATGAAGGATGAGGAACAAACATGCGTCGTGGCCTGATGGCAAAATCCCAAGTGACCGCTGCAGGTCTCAAAACAAAAATCGCAAAAATGGACATGCTCAGCGTCCCACTGAGAACCGCTCGTGACCCGTAAACACCGATTCGTCGTGACTTTTAGTATCCCTCATGCCGGACTTTGTCGAAAATGAAACCACACCGAGTCCACACTCCCAAACGCCGTACCGCCGCTTATGTTGAAAAAGGTATGCGTGTACTTGAAAAGAAACCCCTCGCTTATTTGGGGAATGTAAACCGGGACGTAATCTTCTCGGGCTCCTTCTTGCCAGACGTCGCTGTCGTCTGCTGCTGCCGCGCCGCGAGGTCGGCAATCTTCTCTCGGGCCTTCATGAGGCTGCTGTTGTCCTGCTGCTTGAGCTTCGCGCGGATCTCGTACAGTGCCATCAGGGTCGACGCGCGGTCCATATCATCTTCGGCCTGTTCATCACCCATCATGTAAGCTCTCTGTCCCGTTCCAAGTAGTGGTTGTTGTTGGTGCTGCAAGGTGTTGGTGGTAGTGCTTCGTACATCAGAGTCCCTCTTGGGCGTGCCGGGGATGGAGCCCTGGGCCGAGTTGGAGCGCGACAAGGCGGGCGGGCTCATCATGATGCGACGGCCAAACTTGTCGACGCGGGCGGGCGAAGCGGTGCCTGTGCCTGTCCGCGAGGTCTGGGAACTGTGCGTGTGAACGCGGCGGAGTTCATCGGTGGGCCGCCTGGGCAGTCCGGGGGCGGCGGGGTTGGCGCTGGTCTTCTCAACTGTCTGGATGGCCTTGTTTGCGGTGACAAGAGCGGCTGCCGCGTTGGGTTCCTGTGTTGGAATGAGGTCATCAGCACTTCTGTAGATAGGGCAGATGGGTGAGTTGAGGAAAAGTTTATTGCGGATCTCCTTTCTTCCCATGAGCCCCTGCAGCCGCCGAAGCGCATCGCATCGCAGAGGGAGTTACATGGGCGAGTCAGAGAATGCGACCGGGACGAGAATACAATTGTAGAGAGTAGGGAATAAGGGAAACAAACGGCTGCGTTGAGGCTGCTCAGGTCGGCAAGCATCTGCGCCAGCTGGAGGCTCTCCATGGCGACTTTTAGTATTGGGTCTGCGGATTCTTGTTGTTGGTGGTCTCGTGTCGTGTAGTGCGTAGAATGGAAAATGCTGTCAATTAACAATGCAGTGTTGATTAACGGGCTAGAAGTGGATGCAGGCAGTTAGCAGTGAATTTGGCCGAGAGGAGAGTGAAAGCGGGTGGATCTGGGCAGGGAATGGACATGGAGCATTATAGCATGGGGCATAAGGTAGAACCCACCGACGCCGTCATTCCAGGCCAAGGCTAAGGAGACTTTTTGACTCTTAAGGCCAGGTACCACTGGCCACAAGTGCCTGACAGTAAGGCTCTTTGTGTCGGGTCTGTGAGAGATGTCAGAGGTGGGGGAGAAGGGACAGAGCGAAGGGTGCGTGAGCTAGTGTTAAGGGCTGCGCTGTTGTGTGTTTATGTGTGTGTATGTTTTTGCTAAGGTGTGATGATGAATAGGAAAAGGGCAGGTATTCACCGCGTAGTGATGTTGATAAACAAATTTGGCAACAGTGATCAGGCTGCGTGTGGAAGGTGACTTGATGTAGGAGGAATGCCACCTTGAAATGTGAGGTGTGAGGTGTGCCCTATGGCATGGGGTACGTAGTGACGATACGTATATCACAGTCGAGTACGGGAATATGGGTAAAGATCAAAGACATCAACATTTACCCCGCCGGAGACAAGGTAAAGGAACAGTTCCAAGTGGCAGATGGTAGCAGGGAAGTGTCCTTATTGGGCCTTCCTTAGCCATCCATCGGGTCCGGTGCAATGGTCTGTCACTTTCAACTCTGTCTTCCCAGGTGAAGGTACCTAGGTCAGTAGGTACCTTGACTTTAGTCCAAGTCGATGATCAAATCCACGAAACCGAGCTGGAGGGAAGGAAGGAAGCGGGGTGAGAGACACAGGGCACCTTCCCCCACACTGGGCCATTTCAGCCACATTGAGCACCCCAGGCCCTCCTTGTCCCCGCTGTCTTCTGGCCACTCATGCGACTGCTGGAACATCTGTCGCCTGCTCTCCCCGACCGGTTGGGCGGGAAGTGTCTCCCCCGAAGCTTCAAGTCGATCCCGTCCAATCGAGGCCAGCTTCAATCCAATCCAGTCAGTTTCCAGACTGCCAGATCTCGCGTGCATTGGACTGCTTTCTGCACAGGCCCTTCTTATAGGTATGCAAGCTTCAATGGTTGCCGCCGATTGACGCATCCGTCCTCCGAATCGCCTTGACCAGATTGGCAAGCCTCCGTGCTTAGTGCCGGCAGGTCTCCCGACGCACCCAACTTTCCAACCAGTATAAAATCTGACTAAGCATCCTCGAGTCTCCCAGGCCTGCGTTCCCCGGTTATTCGGAGAATCCGACACTGGCTCCGGCATCGCTTCGGCATGCTTTCCGAAGGTCGTTATCAACCTCACGCCTTCTCATAAATCAACAGATCTCAAATCTTGCAAGAATCTGTAACTCGAGGAGACGCGAATCACAACCGTCAAGATGTCCATGGTTTTCAGACGCTCAATGGCTACCGCCGCCTCATTGAAGAGGGCCGGTAAGGTCATGTGCATTGGCCGCAACTATGCGTGAGTGATTCGTCACCTGCCCCTCGACTCTCACAAACATGAGATGCAGGCACAGGGAACAGAAGAGAGGACTAACAACCAATCCACAGCGATCACGTCAAGGAGCTCAACAACACCCGCCCTAAGCAGCCCTTCTTCTTCCTGAAGCCCACCTCCTCCATCCTCCTCCCTGGAGCCGGCCCAGTGCTGAGACCCAAGGGTGTCGACATGCACTATGAGGTCGAGCTCGCTCTCATCCTCGGCAAGCAGGTTAAGGATCTCAAGGCCGATGACCACAAGGGCGCCATCGACGCCATTGAGGGTTCGTCTCACTCGCTTGGGGCACATCGTCCCCCTTCCTACCCTCACAGCCACTGACACACAAGACAGCCTACGCCCTCGCCATTGACATGACGGCACGCAACAACCAAAACGAAGCCAAGAAGAAGGGTCTCCCCTGGTCTATCGCCAAGGGCTTTGACACCTTCCTGCCCATGAGCGACATTATCAAGAAATCCGCCATCCCCGACCCCCACGACATTGAGCTCTTCCTCAAGGTCAACGACGTTGTCAAGCAGGAAGGCTCCACCAACCTCATGCTCTTCCAGATCCCCCGCATCCTGAGCGACATCTCCAAGGTCATGACCCTCGAGGCCGGCGACATCGTCCTGACCGGAACCCCCGCTGGTGTCGGCCCGGCCGTGCCCGGTGACGTGATCCGCGCCGGTCTCCGTGTCGGCGGCAAGGAGCTGGCCGAGGCCAAGATCGAGGTTGCCGTTGAGGAGTCTCCTAGCTCGTACGAGTTTGCCGAGACGTAAGTGTCGCTTTGATGATGACCTATGGGAGGTGACATTTCTAGAGTAGGGGGAGGATTTGAGCGATTTATCTGCAATGTTTTACGGAAAAGTCATGTTGGGTCTCATATAAAAAAGGGGCCGAGGTGTGAACATCTCAGCCTGGATCACCTAGATCAATCATGATCACATGTACTTTTAAATCATATAGACCGTCTGCTCGCCTTCGCCTACAACAAATACCCAAACCTGAAAGATCACACCGCGTACCTCAGAAACAAAGTGCCTCTCTCTCACCCGCTCATCCACTCATCGAAATGTAACGCAGGCCGCTTCACTCCAGGTTAGGATCCTTAATCGACCCAGGCTTCGGCGCCGCCTCAGCGACAACACCACACTTCTTACACGTCCTCGCCCCCTCGTCAGCCTTGAACGCCTCAACAGCAGCCTTGATCTGCGTCCCGAGGTCGGTGCAGTGGAAGGCCGCCTCGTGGACGACCTCGCGGCAAGACTCGCAGTACCAGCGCATGCGATCGATGGAGCCTTCCGGTCGTCGCTGCTCGAGCACGACGCCGACCGTGTCGGCGAAGCGGACGGGGTTGTGCGGGGTGTTGCCGGGGAGCAGGAACATGTCGCCCTCGCGGATGATGACGTCCTTGAAGACGCCCTCGTCGACGACCTTGAGCATCATGGCGCCCTTGTACTGGTAGAACCATTCGGGGGTCTGGTTAATGTGGTAGTCTGTTCGGGCGTTGGGGCCGCCGACGATCTAAGGCTCGGCGTCAGAAATGATGATGATGATGGTGGTGGTGGGGGCGGGGGCGAGGGGTCAAGGGGATGAGTTTTGAGTTGTTTTGCTTACCATGACTGTGAAGTCCTCATTGTAGACGCAGTAGTTGTTGATTGGGGGTTTGAGGAGGTGGGAGTTTTCCTCTAGCCTGAGTGCGTGAGAGAGACGTTAGCATTAATTGAGCCCCGTTGCGAATAGCCTCACAATAGCATGCTAAACAGAGCTAGGTGGCATAGGATGAGTTGGAACTCACCACTTGGGCAGGTTGACAGGGGGTCCAAGCATGATGGCTGCTTGTGGTGTCGTGAGTCACTTGAGCTTGTTTCGCGTTTTAATGAAAACTCTTCTTTGCAAAACTCTGGCGTCAATGATTCAACAGTTGTGGGCTGCTGAAGTTGAAATCGGGTGGTAAGGCTATGAGATTGTGTAGATAAGTTGATTTCATCCCCTCCTTCTCTTCCGTGGCGAATGAGATATTTAGGCTTTGGATGACTACAACATCTCATTGATGAGGCTGCATTTATCAGCCGCCAGAGCTCTCATTCCGGACGGGCCCGGCGGAGCCACTGGAGAGAGTTGCGGGCCGCCCACAGCGGCGGGTAAGGTAAAGACCGACAATCTATGAAGGTATTGAGATCCTCCTCCATATAGTTACAGAGAGATGTGAAATGAATATCGAGTCATCTTCATCGCTGACAAACACAACGTTGAAGGTCGGAATCACATCCTGTAGTAAGTCCTTGACGAGCTTCTAGGAAGTGATTCACCGGCACAGTTAGCCGTCGATAGGCAGTTACCTAGTAATGATGGTCATAGACTGAAGACTCCGAGTAACCGAGAGCGAGCGGCGACAATGGCCTACGACCCCTCTCACTAAAAACAACCCCGCCATACCAACACGCCCCAGGCTCCGAGGACTCCATTGTGTAACCCCAGGTGCGATTTCCAATGAGAGAGAACATCAGAATGTCACTGGTAAGCCACCCGGCCAGTCCCAAGTGACGCCTGGCCTGGCACGTCTGAGGAGTGTGATGGGGGAAGGAGGGGACCACCCGCCCCGCCCTACCCGTCTTGTCCAGCGCCCACTTACCCGCCTCACGGGTTGTCGATCTTACAATCCGCCTCCAGCAAGTCTCACAGCATCAGTGCAGGGCATCACCATCTTACAAAGCTGCATGCTCTAGCCCCTGCCTGCTTAAGCAGCATTCTACACAGTAAGAGTCCGGGCATGTGCGGAATGGAAAGAGAAAAAGAGACATTTCAGACGAGTCAACGCCTTAGCCGCCGCGACGGTCTCTTACAGGCCTTTCCCAGCCAGCATCCCGCCTCAAGTCTCTCCTAACAGCCCCTCCGAGTCTCACGAGGACAAGCTATCTTACCTTAGCCCCAGCACGTCAGCTCCCCGCCGTTTGGTTTAGTTCTTGCTAAAGTATTCTTTGTTGTGCTCGTACACAGACAACCTGTTACTGACCACTTTCCTACACGGACACAGCAGCGGCAAGCGTGCTTAAGGTTCTGGAAGGTAAAGTGTTGGCTGGTTGGTGAGTAGAGAGGCAGCGCAAGAAGGGAACACCCCGTCTCAGAGGCTGGGAACCTGCGCACATTTGAGCGAGTTTCCATCTCATCCTCCCCAAGCCACGGGCCGCCACCCCTTCTTCAGCCTTAGTCGTGAACGTGCAGGATAGATAGCTTGTACATATTCTCCGGTAAAACATTACTTTGCATTTGCAATAAACGACAAAACCATCTCCCATTCTTCAGCAATTTTCACCGTTTTGTCGTCCCCGGCAGTCATCAACCGAATCGTTGCTAGCTCCCGCTCCGTACAGATACAAGATCGCTGAACACCATTGGAACCCCTACCGCCACG